GTTAATGTAATTGAGTGACGTAATGTATGGCTTGCCCACAACAGCGCCACTGCCATGATGCAATTATTACATAACATTCAGTTGCATAACGTGTTGGGTGCAGCGCCAAGAGTTACACATACTGTATCTTAAATTGAAATATCGAGCTTTTAAAATATCGAAACTCAATATTTTAATCTAAGATATTTTGTCTTTGGAATTAAATTTTCCAAAAATTTTTTCTACTAACATTATCAGCATTTAATGTAGTATCTAAAAATATAATTAATTATATTTCAATCTTATTTTATTATTATTAGCATAAAAATTTCCCGACATGGATCTATATATGCATGAAATTACAATACTATCACTTCAGCGGTTGCCGAGTATTGGCCAAATTCCGGTGCGCAATTTTTATTGGACGACCTTATATATTAAGGTAATGACATTATGATAATTTTTGAATTAATTATAAAGTACATTATTTATCTGTCTAGGAAATGTTTGCAAAATAAAATAAGTTATAATATAAAATACCCCAAAATACTGTTTGAAGAGTTTGTCTCATATATGGCTTCGTATATCAGTCTATGGTTTGGCTTCTCTATTATATTGCTATCAAATGTTATACACGTTAGCTTTCGCTATGTTTGTTATAAAGTGAAAATGTTTTACTTAAATATTTTATTTAAACAAATTAATCGCAATTATAATATAACTAATGATATATTTTATAATAATATTATTATCAAATATTATGGGGTTAAACGCGTTCAACCATTAAATAAAACGGTTAGGGTTAAGACATTATATTGACATTAAAAAGTTTTAAAATCAACTTTCTAATGTATATACAGATTGTATAATATAATATATTACATACATAATTAAGCTTTATATCTGGCAATTAATTGATACCTATTAATATCTGAAATAACACTATACCTGAATATTCATAATAAATTTTACCCATGTATACAAATATATTATTTGATTTTATAATTAATATTGTAATGAAACTTTATATTTAAGGATCACATGCATATAGACTAACCAGATGTCCAGAAATGGCCTGGATTTTCCCGGAATTAGATGGCCTGTCCAGAATTTTAAAAATATTTTAAACATTAAGTCTATGAAGACGTCCAGAATAATATAGCTAAAATTAGTAAAATGTCATAAACTCATCTGGGCAGTAGGGTGACCAAACGTCCTCCCCCCGGGAGGACAGTCCTCCCCTGGACCATTCCTGGCACCGTCCTCCCGAGCCCCTGGGGAGGACTATACAATGTCCTCCCTTGATGTTTTAATAAATTTAATAATAAATATTTTGTATTTTGAATATATTTTCTAGCTAAGAATATAAAATAACTTTTTGTTGATTTGTTTGCATTTAAAACATTCATAAAACTTAACAGAAAAGCTTAAAATATATAATACTCCTATCGTTATTTCTATTAGATACCCATTTTTCAAAAAAATGTTCTGTTAGTAATTATTTAAATATTTGCAATAAAAATGATTAAATAACATTCATTTTTCTATTAAGTGCTATAATATAGCAATGTTAATAGTATATCTATGATTTTATACACTAAAACATAGCGTCCTCCCCATGTCCTCCCCAGATTTGGAGATTTTCTCATTTTGTCCTCCCGTTAGCTAAAATTTTATGGTCAGCCTACTGGGCAGTCTACATGCATATCGCCATACACTGTATGTAATATCAGTTATGATGTGTTTTACTCCACAATAAGTGTAATTATTTTGTGTCTAAATAAGTGAACGTAATAACCGGCCGATACTTATTATACCGTAAATTACTTATTATAGCGAATTTATACATTTGTGGCATGTATTATTTTTAATATTATTTTATATAAAATGCAAATCGCGATTAAAATCATTATCAATTAATATATTATTAATTGTAATGTTATATTATACTATGGTGGTTACACTTAACATTTTATATATACTTTATATATATGAATGCAATGAATGCAAACATATAGCGATCTCTATCTATCATAACATACAAAACATATGGTTTTGTAAATTAAATTATTAAATTATTACAATAATTAAAATCAACAAATATTTATAAATCATTATAACTCTATAAATTAATAAGTTAACTAAATATTAGCGAACAGACCCTAACCATTATTTTATCTTGTTCTCTATTTATGATTAACTATTATTTTATATAAAGTCTATTACTTTATATGAAATCTCGGGATCAAAATGTGGGTAAAAATGGACAGAGGGTTGGGTTATAAACAACTAGTTTAACACTGAATTGTAGTTACAAATAATACGATGGAAGTAACCGATGGATTGGTAACCATTCCGTGTCCGTGGGATCGCATTAATATATTTTCCAAACTTACATTCAGGTGATTTACTAAAAAATCTACTAATAACTTAAATTTACATTATATTATTATATCAATAAATTTAGTAATGTATTTTCTATTATAATTAGTTGGTTGTGGAGTCTATTCATTTGGGCGCATAAGAAGGACCTCGATTTTAGTGACCTCTACCGGTGCCCGGAATCAGATGAGACACATCGAGTCCGACAGAAGCTGGAAATGTAAATCAAAAATTAAATTTTAATCATTATTAAAATAATGTAAATATAATGTTTTGAATTTTATTCGAATAGCAATTGGGATAAACAACTAAAAAGTAAAGGAAATCCATCGTTATATTGGGCACTAATTGCATCGTTTGGACCCAAACTCATTGTCCTCTATATTCCCGATGCAATCCGGGTATTAGATACATAGTGTACATAAATTAACTTCACAAAAGTAAACTAGAATATTTTATAAAGTATTCCGTCTAATAATACTTTAAATTAATTGCCAACATAAGGATTATTTGTGATGATTTGGTCAATGTCAAAAGACATGAAATTTTAGAATGTTTTCCATAAATATAATGCTAAATTAAAACTGAGTTTCAAATGAAATTCTTAAATATTTGACAATTAACTTGATATATTATTTCAATTAGTAAACCGAATACTTTAGGAAATATTTGAGTTTACTTTTGTGGTGTCGATTATGTATACCCTGTAAATGGACCATAATTATAACAGTGAATTTTGTAAATATTTTCAATTAATTAATTTATATTTTATAATCAAACAGGAAATGGGAGTTAATTTGTTTCAGCCATATTGTATTGTTTATTTGGTGAGATATTTTAACAAAGACCCCAACACTAGCCAGTGGTGGGCGCAGTGGGCAGCCGTGGGTATTGTGATGGCGGCCATTGCAAACGTGTTTATCATGTATTTAAACTTAGCTCTGTTAAGCAATGTTGGGCTCAAAATCCGTGCCGCCTGTTGTGCCCTAATATACCGCAAGGTCTGTCCCATAAGAGTGTATACTTTTGTAGTTTTTATTAATAGATTTTTATAGAATATAAATTATTATATTATATGTTTCATGTGGGTTCATTTGATGGTTCATATTTTACATTTATACATTGGTTTACTCATAGCACAGAATAGGCATCGATTCGAATAGGAATTAAATGCAATGCTATGATTAAGTTTTATGATGAGTATATTATATGTAAAAGTATTAAAATGAACCATCAAATGAACCCACATGAAACATATATCATAGTCAATGCGTTTAAGTCATTCATCACTCGGACAGACAAATGTTGGCCAGATATTGAACATTATGTCCAATGATGTCCACAGATTTGATGCGGTATTAAATTGTAAATTAAATAATGATATTTAAATTTAAGTAATTAAACTGAACTGTTTATAATGTTGGTGTAATTATTTTGAGAAAATAGTTTGCATTAGTTTCGCGATCATTATTTGTGGCCCCACTTCAGACGGCGATTGTATTATACCTATTGTGGTTACACCTGCGATGGGCCTGTTTGACGGGAATGGGAATAATTGTGCTGTTTATACCATTTCAAGTACTAATGGGTCGTATGTCTCGGAGTATCCGCCAAAAGACGGCTGAATTAACCGACAGTCGAATCCGTTTAATGCATGAGATTATCGCCGGAATGCGTGTCATAAAGATGTACGCCTGGGAACAGCCCTTCGCACTATTGGTCGCAACCGCTCGCAAGTAATGCCACAATCGATATAATTATGAACTAACATATAATTTGTAAATAATTAACAAATAATGTAAAGATATATATTTAATTTTATATTTAATATTAGATCTGAAGTGAAACAATGTTGTTATTCAAATTTTTTGAAAGGCCTTAACCTTTCCATTAATTTTGTGATAATACGGGTTATAATATACGCCTGTTTTCTAACATATGTACTGATGGGTGGGATGTTGTCGGCGGAGACAGCCTTTGCCACAATTGCTTACTTTAATGCATTGCGTTGGTCAGTAGGGATAAATGTGCCCGAGGCTATAACCACACTCAGTGAGTTAATTATAGTCATTGAACGTATCCAGGTAATTAGTAAAAATTATGTATTAATTTAATGTCTAATCTAAAATTATTTAATTTTATAGACTTTTTTATTACTCGAAGAGATGAGTGGTTTGGATGAGAGGGAAAGGAAAGACAACGAGGCGTTCATTTCGGGGGAAAATGAGTTAATTCTCGGAGTAATAGAAAACACTTCGAGTGTTGAAGAAAAAGGCATTTTTATGGACAAAATGAGCGTTCGTTGGAATAATGTATGAATTCTTTGATGTCTTTCAACACAACATCTGATCAAATGGTAAACACATTAAGCATTTTGTCATTTGGACAATAAGTTATACTTTTGGTAGATATGTTTGGCCACACGTGTGTCGACAGCGCTCAGGGGGTCGTCCAAGAGGTAGATGTCTGCCGAGTGGTACAGAGCCCGGGCCAGACTCAGCCTAGCCTTCTGTCCGCCACTCAATGCCAGCCCTCTCTCCCCCACAAGTGTTTTGTCCC